CAGGAATGCATTACCAGCAGAAAACTAATGTGGATATATAGTGGAGTAACGGACACTCAGCAGTTTTCTAACTTGCCTTTTAACTGTAACGTGGTCTGGCTATAGCTTTATTTGAAATTCTGTTACAAGAAATGGCTAGGGTTTTTTAAAATCATATATTGTTATGAACTGTAATATAACCTACTTGTGTCTACACTGGCGAAAGATGTACGTTTAAAATTCAAAAGCTACCTGAAAGATCTACAAAACTAGTTTGTTCTTCTCCAAAGGTACAAGAAACCAGAGGAGCGGAGTCCTTTGATAGCTGCAATGCAACATTTTCTACCAGTTCTGAAGGATAGTTTCATTCAGCTCTTGAGTGATCCATCTGATCAGTCTGTCCTCATCCAGAAACAGATCTTCAAAATATTTTATGCCCTTGTGCAGGTGAAAAATAAATGTTGTATATACTTGATCAGTAATTTAATTATGCTTTTCCTTAAAATAGCAAGTGACACAAATATTAACAATATTAGGTTATATCTGAATCATTTCTCCTACTAGTCAACTGCAGTATGAATCACAGGTTTTTGGTGTGCTTGATTGTGCTGTACTTTTACTTTTGTACAGTCCTGTTCCTGGTTGGCATTAGATAGAACCAATGCATACTATCCTCTAAGGTAGACTGTTTGCTAGACAGATTAGAAGAGGCCAGCCTGCATAGAATTACCAGTGTAAATGCAGCAGTTTGGAATGAAACTGTTAATATACTGTTGATTGATTCAGAAATTAGTGAAAGACCCGTTTAAGTAGCGTCTTAGCATTTCATAAGCAGAATGAATTGGAGTAAAGACCTCTAGCACCTTTGAGGATATTGAGGATATAGACTAGGTTTTAAGTTCTTTGGCCTGGTTCTCCAAGTCATTTGCTCATCTTTCATGGTAGCTAAGTGTAGACAAAGATTTGAAAGAGCTAAAATTCAAACTGTGAAAGTAACATTATTTTCAAATTGCTTTATAATAAATTTATTTTTCCGTTTTTTTAATAAGTACACATTACCTTTGGAGTTGATAAATCAGCAAAACCTGACTGAATGGATAGAAATCCTGAAGACTGTTGTCGATAGGGATGTACCAGCTGTAAGTGGCTTTTGGCTATTTATGTCTTTAAGCTTAAATATTTTTCATTCATTAGAATGTTAAAAAGGTTAACTTTTCATTTCTGCATTCTTTTTTCTCAATAGGTGCCAAGAAAATAATTTTTAAGATAGATAGGATGTTTTACATAGATGAGACAAATTGATTGGGAGTTCTTTTGTTTTCAAATTATAGCACAACTTATTTTGGTTTCTCGTTTCAATAATTTGTTGACCATTTATGCAGCATATATCATGGGTTTTATTTTTAGATATGCTGTACTTTATTAAGCTAGAAGTGCAAATGGCAGGTTAAAAGCAAAATATGCTATATAGCTGTTCAAAATACATATAATTATATATTATAATATAATAACTCTTTATGCATAGTTGGTAATTTTTTTTCCTTCCTTTCCCCCTAAAGGAAACCCTTCAAGTTGATGAAGATGATAGACCTGAGTTGCCTTGGTGGAAATGCAAGAAGTGGGCTTTACATATCTTAGCTAGACTTTTTGAGAGGTATTTTCTCTTCTATTATTATTTTTTAAAAAAGCAAACAAATATTCAAGTCAATAATAATGCTGCACTCTTTAATTTGCATACTTGCTTCTAATTCTAGGTATGGAAGCCCTGGTAATGTTTCCAAGGAGTACAATGAGTTCGCTGAAGTTTTCCTGAAGGCATTTGCTGTTGGAGTTCAGCAAGTAAGAAACACTGAATGTGAGGGTTTTGGGAGAAGTTTAGAGTTAGTTACTAGTGATTTCTTATTTCATTATTTTCTGTAAAGGCTTCTTGCTCTTCTTCACAATGGGGTTTTTTTTAAGCACATTGGTATGGAAAGCACTGACATCTGTGGCTTAAAAGAATAAAAATATTAAAAAATTACTAATTTGTCACGTAGGACAATCCACTGAAAATAGCCTACGCAGCATTGATAATCTGTAAATAGAGTAATTGCTCTCATATAACAAGCCCTCAGATGATTGATAAATGCTATCAATTTTTCTCTTTCTGGAAGAGATAGATATAATGTTTATGAGCTGTATTTGACCTTCTTACCTACCCTTTTAACTCTGATGATATAGTTCTTTGACTCTAAGTCAGTAAATGCAAAGCTTTCTTGCCTTCTGCAAAAGCCTGATCAAGCAGAGGCTTGCTTACAAACAGGTGTCACTTTCCACCCATCTCCCTAGCTGGGGTTGCCACTTCTACAGGTTCTGTTATACACAAAGCATCTTCTGGACTATAGCAGTTTCTAACCTGCTGTATTAATGTTAGGCCAAACTATCCTTGATTTACCTTGATTGGAGTAACTTCAAAATTTAGATAGTCCTACCACATGGCAGCAACCTACAGGTTTTCCTGAAGGGACAGCATGGATTGGCGGGGCAGGAATTGTCATCTGCCTCTCTATAGTGTATGTGCTTAAAGTCAGTACTTTCAACTTTTTGAACTAGCAGGAAAATTCCCATAAATATTGGGAAATTTTGGGATCTAGTTCTCAGCTCCTGGCTGTACTGCTGACTTCTCTTCCTTTGAAACAAGTTTATAAAAAAACTTCAAGTAGTTTTTGTAAAATTTCCTTGTATTGGCTCATAAATCTGTTTATATTCAGGTGATTAGGTTGTAAATGTAAACAGACTATTAATTTATTAAAATCTCAGCGGAATGTTTTCTTCAAAGCCTTTATTTTAATCAGGAGAAGAACAGTTCTTAGATCAATTTAAGTTTTCTTAGTAATTCCTAATGAAATTATAATGAATTACAGAACTTTAAAAGGGGAGAAGTAGGGAAAATATCTCCTAAACACGTTTTTGAAGGTCATCCAAAGTATTGAAAGGGAAAAGAACATTTGTCACGAGTATTAGGAAATATATCCATCCCAACTCAGACAAGTGGAGTCAGCATCACCTTCTGAGATGCTCATATGTCACCTGTAGATGACATCAGACAGTTATTACATGTTCTTTAAGACCTTACTGGTTGCTCTGCACTTGCAATATAAAATGAAGTTCTGACAAAAGACTGTATGGGCAAAAGAAGTCTT